CAGCTCTTCCACTTAAGAGAGCGGCTTCACTTACTCCCAGCCAAATGAATTCCAGTCATTGAAAGCTAAGCATGAAAATGCAGAGGGGGAAGGAGAAAGCCACTTGCAGTCTTGAAAAGATGAGCAAAAATAAGAATAGTGGGTTCAGTGGCCTGTCTGAGGCACACGTAGCTCAGTACAGAGCCCTGGGCCAGAGCTCCGTGGGAGCTGTAGTCACAGCTCATGGGTACAACAGCCAGCGCGGCAAACACTTCCTTTCTTGGCAAGGGGAGCCTGCAAATGCATTTCCCCCACTTCTACATCCTGCAGGTTTCTACTGGAGTCTGTTATAATTACTGGGAGCATCAGACATCTGCTGCTTCCATGGATGTCACTGAGGCTACTGGTGGGCTGATTGATGTGTGGTTACCACTGGAGAGCAGCCTGAGTGGCAGCAGCTGACCTTCTTAGGAGCATCTGTATTGCTCCTCGCCTTCCCTCTGGCTTTTGCTGTGACCTTTGGATACAGATTGATCCCAGATTAGTGCTTGTTAACAATAAATACCCTAAAATTAGGATACAAGTAGACAAGTCCTGAAAAGGTTAGACAAGCTCAGGGCAAGTTAGTGCAAGACTGTTCACCATGCTGATGGTTGGTCTGTGTGGTCTATTTTCCAGAAGTATTTTCCATTCTTATTACCTACAATTCCAGAACAAAACCAGCTGGACAGCCCCAGGATGGGGGTACTGTGGTGTGGCACCTGTGCCTCCTCAGCTGAGCTGCACACAGCCAGGGGATGGACTGTAACTTATTTTCCTGGGCACTCCTGTGTGGATGGAATTAGTATTTTGCCAAGTGAAGATGGGTAAATGCATCCAGCTGTACTGGACTGGCTTCAGTTCATAAGTGGCAGGCAAGGTTTTTCATTTTCCCTTGAACAGTTATATTGTCCTCCCCACTTCATTTGCAAACTTCTGGCTGCACAAATACATCAGAGTGGGCTTATATATTATATATATAAATGATATGGAAGCTGTAGGTTGTGGAACAAGGTAGATTTGTATCCAGCCCACAGAGAACATCACTGATCATCAGGTATGAAATGGTTAATTAAAAACTTTGTTCCCAATCATCAAAGGTATTTTGAGCATCTTTGCAACATCTCCAAGTGTTCAGGAACACAAAAAAAAGAACCTCTGAGGGGAAAATTAACTGTGTCAGGGGTGATATAAAGCTGCATCAGTACCTATAAAGTGCCCCAGCAATACAAGAAAATTGAAGTAATGAACAGAAATGCTCAGTTAGAGATTTTTCCGTATTTTATGTTAATCATTAGGTTAGAGCTGAAATTAGCTTTAATTGATATTAGGAGTTGAAAAAAATGAATCCTCTGGAGGATGAGTCTCTTTAACCTTTAATGATGCAGTAAATAAAATATCCTGTCAACGTTTGTGCGGTAGTAAGGGTTTTCAAAATTCCATATCTGTGTGATGAGCGATTCAATCTGCCTAATTCTCTCCATTACAGCAGATAAAAGTGATGTGGGTGCATAAATTCAGCTGCAGGTTTTCCATGTTTCCAAGCTATCTGGTAATTCCCCACGCTGGCTTGTTATTTCTAATAGGGAGATGAAGAGAGGAAGGAGGGCCTGAGATCAATCCCAGTTCTATGTGCTGGCTTTGCCACTTGACTTGCAGGCTCCTGATGCCGGAGTAGTGACAGAGAAACTGTGCCTCAGTAGAGGTAAAAGGAGCAATGCTGCCTATTCTTCTTTTCAGGTGAAATATGCCTGAAAATGTTTCATTTTTCACTTTAAAGGCACGGCAGAATTGCAAAAGATTTCAATGCTTTAGGGACACTTAGTTTGGTAATAGTCAGACCATTCTTCTCTCTGTCAGGGCTCAGCCTGGTGTTGAAACACCTCATAACTGACTTGGTGAAGCACAAGAAATATTCCCCCACTGTAGGCAGGAAGCCTGTTTTTCATAAAATCCATTTGATCATTGCAATCAACTGGAAGTATTACATCATTTAGGCAAGTTACTGTAGTGGTGATGGTGACTCTGCTGTAGTTAACTGGGAAACAGAAAACAAATTTCCCCACTTAAAACCAGCTTTTGTCTTTCATCAGGACTGATGCAATAACAGTTCTCATCCCATGGGATATAGATCTCCTTTGGAAAGTTCCCAGCAAGCCTTTCAGTGTTAAGGGGAATATATTTCTGCATACTCACAGAAGCTCCTGAGTGATCCTGGTGTTTCACCAGGTGTGAGTTTGTTACGCTGCACTATGATGTGAAAATAACTTCTCTGGTGAGAGATGGTTGTAAAGTCTTAGAGAAAACCATGTGCTTTAAAATGCTGGTGAAACATCCATTTTCTTCATTCTTTTTTCCTTCTTATGTGGGGCTTGGGAGGATTCAGGTGAGGAGGTAAAATAGAAATGTCTCCACAATTAACTTCTACCTTATACTCTGTTTTCTTTCCTCTGATGAGACCCAGCTATTTTGGACAATAGAGTGTCCTGGGCCTGCCAAGGATGTGTTGAAACAGTGGTCAAGCACTGGAACAGGCTGCCCAGGGCAGTGGTGGTTCAAAAAGATGTGTTACATGTGGCACTTGTGGCCGTGGTTTACATGGTTTCGTGGTGAACATGGTGGTGCTGGATTAATGGTTGGATTTGATCTTGGAGGCCCTTTCTAACTGTAAAGATTCTATGAATCTTTACAGGAATCTGCATACAGTAAATTTGTTTTATCAGCAAAAAAACACTCAAAAAAGTTGTGTTAAGCAGTGCTAGGTCTCATTTAAAGAGGAAACAGCCAAACCAGCAAAACCAAATCTGATAAATGCCCAGCTCCCAGGACCAGCAGACTCTTGGCCAAGTCATTTCTGAGGGGTGGCCGGCAAAGCAATGGAAAGTGCTGGGAATGATGGAGGCAGCCCTTATAAGCAAAGCAATTTTATGAAGTTAAGACACAGAGGATCTAATTTTCTTCTAGAAGACTCATTACCATGATTTTGTTACACATTATTTATGGGCTGTTATGATAGTCCTGGCAGGTCATAATTGGCTGAAGCCGGAAAATTAGTCACATTTTTCACATTTGGAAGAATGATCTGTACAGTTACACTAATGACTTCATTCCCGGAGATGCCACACGCTGGGCAGGGACTGCCTGTCTTGGGGTGTGGCTGGATTAACCCTTCCTGGCTCTGAGCACCCTGCAAAGGCACCTGGTTTTGCTCATGAGACACCAAAATGACTTGACTTGAGAGCAGCTCTTTGGCATGTAAGTGCCTTGCTGCTTTTGTGATGGCCTCATCTTTCCTTCCCTTTCCTCAAATCTGAGTTAGTTTTGCATAGCACTATTTTTCTACTGGGAAAATACCTTTTTTTTTTTTTTTTTTCCAACTAATTTGTCTGTGCAGGGGCATTGCACCCTCCTCATCAAAGCCACTGCAGCATCACAGCAGTCAGGCAAGCCCAGCTCTTCCACTGATGGTTTTAACCCCTGGTAAGAGATGGGCAACAGATTAAAGTGAGGAAGGGCCTCATTGGCAGCACTCCCAACTGCCTTGCTGTGTACACAGCACAACCCAAACAGTCTATCACAGATGATGAATCAGAAGGGAGCACTATAATTGCTTTATCTGCCTTTTGGGACAGCACAAGCTGCTTACTCTTGAATTAGAGCCTGGTGAATGTTGCTGTATCTTCCAGAAAAGTGGACAGCTTTGATTTGGGGATTTCTAGTGATCAGGAATCCGCTGCCCTGTTGTCTATCTGCTCCCAAACCCCTTAATTGCCATTGTCAAAGAATGGACCTGAATTCCTGAATAAATTTGTACTGTATGGCATTGTAGCATTCGAGTCATGTTGCAGTTTTGTCTGACAGACTAAAGAGAAAAGCATGTGGCCACAGGAGAAAATTATAGAGCATGATGCAGCAAATAATACCTTGGACTGAAGGATGCCAGGAGAAAGTTAAGGGATGACTTCATTTGGTTTGCAGCTCTTGTGAAAGCCTTTCCTGTTTTACTGAAATCTGTCTTAGTTTGTAGGCGTCAGGACTAGCACAATACACTGGGGTGAACTGGTGTGTGAAATTCAAATCTGGGAGAAACTCCCAGTTGCTTTTTGATACTCCCTGTTTATATGGTCAGGGATGGCATAAACCTTTTGGTGAGAGCATCCTGCTGACAGCAGGACCAGCCCATAGGGCCCAAGCCATAGACTGCTCTGAAACAGTTCAAGGGTGGGGCAGCTGACAGCAGCCTAAAACCCCACTAAAATCATCCATGGCTCTGAGAGGAAAGGCTCACCTACAGGCTGTGTCCAGACTGTTTCTCCAGGAGCAGTGGTCCTCCTGCAGTGCTGTCCCCACCTCCTGTGAGCTGCTGCTCTCTGTAATCCATCCTCTGTCACTCCAGCATGGAAAAGGGTTGGCCAATGCTGAACTGAAGGCAACCTCTTAATCAAACTAAGAGGTGGGAGTTAAAGTGTTTGCAAAATACCATACAAATGGGAGGGTTTGATCGCGTTAAATGAAGGATCTGATTCATTAAATTAAGTGGAAAGCAATGTACATGGATAATTTCAAGGGTTGAGGCTGAATGCGGTTTTTAAATAGGAAGTGATCAGCCGCTATACACAACACAGAGCAGCTCTCAAACATTTTTAATGACAGTATTTGTACACACTTTAGTTTAATTAACACATGGCACAAGAGGGGTTTGGTAACTAGGATGTAGTCTCACACCAGTCGTCTCAATTATAACACATGAAATTTCAAGCATCGATACACCCAGAAGGACGGCGCCTGTCCCTGCCCGGCAGGGTCTGGCGGCTTGAATTTCCATCACACCTTGTTTTTCTTGGAATGCGACAGTAATTCCTTCTCTCCAGATGGAGAAGTCCCCTTAGAAGTGGATGATCAGCTCCTCATTTGGATTTATTTCTTGTTTTCTGCAATCAAAATTAAGGGGTTTGTGTATTGTCACTGCCCAGTGATCCACGTTACGTTTCTGACAGCTATGTTTATTAGTAAATATGTAGTAATTGCTTCCAGAATTAACTAGAGCTGCTCTTCTGTGTCTGAACGTGTAGAGACGTTTCCTGTGATGTGTGATCCCTCTGTTAGCACAGCACTCACTGGATGCTGGGGGCCTGTGGCAGGCACAGCTGGGTTTTACTTCCCTGCAGGCACAGTGTTGGTCCGGGGAACCAACTTCAGAATAATCGGCTTCTCTGGTATTAAGAGCCCCTTTGAACTCAGCTTCATTGGGATCTGCAACAATAAGAGGAAAAACACACTTGGAGATAGACAAGTTAAATAAGCAGAGATTAAAGGAAAGAAACTTGGCCACGGTTTAGGCACAAACTGGGTCCGTAGTGCCCAGAAGTGCAAAGCGTCTGGTTTTGGCACCCGTGGTGAGAAACTCGGCACCCACCTCTTCACATGAGAGCATCAAACCATGATGGGCTCCTCACCTGAGTTTCTTTGCAGGTTTGGAAGGTGAAATGTTGCAACAGGGAGGCGATGGCAACTTTGAGAGTCAGGAGAGCAAACCGCATCCCAATGCAGTTCCTGGGACCAGCCCCGAAGGGCAGGTACGTGTAGGGGTCTATGGACTCCTTGTTTTCCTTACTGAACCTGGACAATTACATGGTTGGGGAAAAGAAATGAAGGCAGCAAAAAAACAAAACCTACATATGTTATTTATCCAGAGAACTCTTGCTGGTGCCTTACAGGGATTTGTTTGGGGTTTTTTCCTTAAAGTGTCTCAGGGTACCCCAGCAATCGAATGCTGTGTCAGAGCCCTCGTCCAGGGCAGGGTGGGATCCCACTTGAGGGTTTGATTTTAATTCTGTCCATCTAGATTGGTAGAATTTGGAAGCAAGGTGAAAATCTAGGTAACATGCTGTTCCGAAGTGACTGATATTTCCTATCTGTCACATTTAGTGAGAGAATCCACAAGTTGTTTTGTTTAGGAGCAGCCTGTGGCTTCAGTATTGCTGGGAATGGGAGGTAGATGCCATCTACAAAAATGACCAGCTAGGAAAGGTTATCACTTCCTTGAAAACAAGGAGGGAAGGCAATTCTGGAAAGATCAACTCTGGCAAATTTAGTTGAAGCCTGTGCGAAGGGAACAGGTTCAGCAATGAGGATTATACAGAGGATGGCCAGCAGTTAAAAAAACTTACCATCTACCCCCTCTGAGAAAGCCTAAAAACTGGGTACAAGATCCTGTGATCAATGTTATTCTCCCAATAAGATTGTTATTTGAAACCCTGCTTCAAGTGCAAAGCTCATTTTCTTCTTAAAATGACATTCCCATGAGCCTGCAATTTCTCACCCATATTGTTTGTAAAAAGATAGGAAGAACACCATTAGGAAGCTAATCAGAGATTAATACTTAATTACTAAGTGAGGAAAAAACAGCATGATATTTCTTCCCTGTTATTATGCTTTTTGTACCTTTCTGGTCTGAACTCTTCTGGGTTTGGCCAGTACTCGGGGTTGCGGTGCAGGACGTAGGGTGGGATGGTCACAACAGTTCCTTTGGGAATGGTCACTCCATTTATTTCTACGTCTCTCTTGCAGGTTCTCTCAAGACGTCCTCCAAGGGGATACAGCCGAAGGGTTTCACTCACTGTCATGTCAAGATATTCCAGCTTCATTATTGCATCATATGTGAGAGGAGCCTGTAGGATGACAGGACCAGGTATGTTGGCATGAGAATTGGATTGTCCTAAAATGACCGTGGAGACCAGAGTGTCCCCAACCCCCACTGCCCCAACTGTTGATAAAACAAGATAGAAGAAAAAAAGGCAAGATGGAAGTTGAGTAATTGATTTAATTTTTTGCCTCCCTGAGTTATGGAAATGTCTGGAAATCCACATCCATTTGTTCATGGGTGTGGGAGATGGCAAATGGGTTTGTGCAGTGGGGTGGCTGGAAGGTTTCAGCTGCCAAAAGAAATTACTGCAGGGCTGAGTTGTCTCAGTGTATGTCTCTTGGAGCTCTTGGGAAAGCCACGGGGAGGGTGTTTAAGAGAGAAAGATCTCTCATTGTCCTGACTGAACCAGGAAGGCAGCAGGGGCAGAGGGTGCTCACCATCACTCAGCATCCCCTTACCTTGTTGGGCAAAACTTTGTCGATCTCCTCCAGCACCTTTTGCTGCACGTCGGGGTGCATGGCCAGTTCATAGGCCAGGTAACAAAGGGTGTTGCTGGTGGGCTCGTACCCAGCAAATATGAAGATGAATGCCTGTGACAGGACCTCTGTGTCAGTCAGGGCTGTGGGGAGAGAGGACACAGGACATGAGCAAAACTGGCGTTGGGTGATGGTCTCAGCAAAGACCAGGGAGCAACAGGTGGGGTTGAGGCAGGTTTGTTGCAGTTGTTTTCTGATAATGCATTTGTAGTACTCTGTCTGACTGGAAAAAGTCAGTTGATAAAGGCACCAGATGATTTCCTGAGTATCAATGATTGATGCTGAAGGATCTTAGCCCTGGTGCTGGCAGTAAGGGACAGAGACAGAGACTTCTGTCCCTTGCTGGTCAGTGGAGATGGTGGTGACCCAAACAGCTCCCCATATTCTCCTCACTCCCAGAGCCCCTGTTCCAGTGATGAGTATTTGGGTGTTGTTACCTTTATATGAGTGATTTGTTTCCTTGTTCTCATGGTTGCCTGAGTTCTGGGATTCAATCATCAGCTGCAGAAAATCTACCCTGCCCTGAGAGGGAAAGCAGGAGAGTTTTTTTGGTGACAGGTTCTTTGGAAGGTTCAGATAAGCAAATTTCATAGCCTGAGCACAATTTTTGAGCTGCAAGTGTTCTCCAAATACATATGACTTCCTTATTGAAAAACATAACACTTGTTTTTTAGTTTGGACACCTGTCTGTCCTTTTTGTTAACTCATTGGCTGGGAGAGCAGTGTCTTGAATGAATTTTGGGAAAGGGACCCAAACTCTAAAATGGAGAATTTTCCCAGGAAGCAGCTGCAGTTTTTTAAAAGCTGGAGGAGAAGTTGCAACCATAAAGGTGGTTTTGCTGCTTATGTGCTGATTCTTCTGTGCTCCCTCATCCTCTGCCTAATCTTCTTCAGGGAGTCTCTTACTCTGATTCATTACAAGTTCTGCAGACCAAAGCTTAGTCCAGTTCTGCTGAGCCTTTATCTGGATTTAGCTTCAGGTCACAGATGTACAAAGTCCACCTGACTCTCTGCCAGGACTGGTCAGGTGGGGCTTTTCTGACAGTATTAAAATCAAGTGTTTACACTTGAGTAGATTCAGGGTTTTGTTAAGTCATTGTACTTTGGCTTCACCTTTGATATCATCACTGTAATTATATTTCACTCCAGTGTACTTTGTCACAATTGCTATCAAATTCACACTCCCTTACCTTGTGAGCCTCCTTTTCACGTTCCTTCTTAATTTTGTCAATGGATCTCATGAAAAAATCTACACTATCAGCAGGGAAGAAGCTTACATTCATCTTGGCCAAGAGAGGAACAACAAATGGGAATACAACTGAAAAACAAATTAAGAATTCAATTGCACACTGTGAACAAACTCCACCTCACATCAGATAGCTGTGGATGTCACTGAGGAAGTAATGATGCTTCTGAGAAATTCTTTCCTTTTTTAATTTCTTTACCTGAGAAAAGCCTGGACTGTGCCTTTTATTCCTCTTTCTCATTCCCTGGGGATAGTTTTAGATGCAACCCTCTCCTGGACTTGTCAAATGGGCACAACCAAGCTGGGTATAATCATTCCTTTAAGAGATGACCAAGACATATTCCACCTCCTATTTCTAAGGCACTGTTTTCTAAGGACAGGTTATTTCTGTACATTGTACAGCATTACAGCAGGAATGTGGCTCAGAAGAGAAATATTGAAAATTCTGAATTCCTTTTTCAGGCTGAGCTGTTCACTGCCCTGCTGTGCTCACACAAACATTTTCAAGTTCCCCTCAGAGCATTTCCTTCATCACGGAGTCTCAATCTTGAGCTTTTGTGCATATTCCTAAAATCTACAGCACCAGAGTCTCCTCTGTGCACAGATCACAACTTTCCCTGGGTTTTGGCAAGATATCTAACCTTGATTTTAAGGTCCATTGCTGCTAATCTATTGCACTGAAGGAAATTGCATCTAATTACAGTCTCCACTCAGCACTCTCTTTCAGAAAGTGCATTTCAGACAGCACCACTCTCCTCAAGCCTCACTTGCTTTTCAACACTTATTTCCCAACACTTATTTGGATATTGCTGGGATGTTCCTATGTTTCTTGCACTGTGGATGCCAAAGGTGGAGGAAGCTTTCACCCCATCTCCTTCTCAGAGTTTTAGCATGAAGCTAATGATGAGGAAATGATGGGACAAGGGCAAGGTGGGTTTGCATCCTAGCAAGGGAAGTTATCCAAGCATAATTTGGAGTCACTTACATGACAAGATGAAGACTGGGTCAAAAAAGTCAAACTTGACCAATTTCTTCATCGCTCCAACAAAGGGGTCTTTGGGGTTGTTCATGGAGTCAATGTTCACACCAAAGGAAGTGCTGGTGACGACATCCATGCTGTAGCTTCCAAAGATGCTGAGGAAAGGTGGAAAAGATGGACTGTGGTTAAATATTTGGACTAAGTGAATGTAGTTTTTCCTAATGCCTATGTGACATTCAAACATAAATTCTCATAAGACCTCCTGCCCTGGTTTTGAAAAGAAAATTGGATGGTAAGAAAAGAAAAATTGAAAAGAAAATTCAGTGGTAACTGAAAAACACAGTGAAAGGGATAGATTTTGAGAGAGCTTTGGTTTCAAGCCTGCACAGGTTTTGAAGTCAGGCAGCTTTTCCAAGGATTTTAAAACAGCATGGAGCTGTGGGGATAGGTTAGTGGAAGGACAGCATGTGGCTCTCGAGCATGTTGGCTCCTTGGGGAGGGGTGGCAACACGCCTTGCTTCAAATACGCCTTGAAAATGGTCTTGTTCAACCCAGCACAGCCCCATAATGTTACAAACTGTCCAACCCCTCTCTTTCATGTTTTTTTTTTTTTAGAGGAGAGCTTTGCTGGTGTGTGGCTACTGGTGTGCAGCTGCCCCTTCTGCATTTGTCCTTCGAAATTGGGGATGAAATACAGAGGTTTTGTTCCAGAGCCCATATGGAGGGTGCACATGAGGATAACAGACTTGGGGCCACTCTGTGGCCTCACTCCACCCAGCAGTGGGGCACATGATGGACAGTGCTGTGTGTTGGGCAGAGGGGTCAGCAACCACAGTATCCTGTGCTATAAGAAGGTGGTGCACAGATATCCTGAGTATATGCAGGGAAAAATGGGTTTTCCTGGCAGGTTTGGAGCGTTTTGGATCTGTGGATTCACAAAGCTGTGCTGGAGCATTTTTCTCCCCATCCAATTCCCTTTGGAAAAATTCTCTCAGGACCTCCACTTCTTAGAAGTTTTGTTAAGATCCCAGCTTAAATTTTGCATTTCAAATTTCCAGCCAGGCTTCCAGCAGGCCCTATCCCTCATTTCAGAGCTGTGGCTGACCCAGGGAGGGATCTACGTTGCTGGTAATGAATGAAACACAGCACTTGCTAACAAGGTTTGCTCTGCCTGCTGCTCCTGGCAGCTACTTACTCCTTCACAGACAGTGAGTTGTCCTTTTCCAATTGCTTCTCAATGTTTTTCACCAAAACTTCCCCATAGTGCTTTATTATAGGGAACATCTGTAACAAAAACCAGCTTTGGTCACTTCAGTACAGTACATTTTACTCCTTTTAGGCGGGCTCATGAAGACTACAGGGAGTTTCATGAATATTTACAAATAAGATCTCTCTGCTGAGGTTTTATTTTAAGACTTTTCTGTTTTAAATTAGGCATAAATTAAACAGTTGCCAGGCTCTGACTAAAGAAATCAGACCCCTGTGACAATCTCAGCCTGCAAACGCTGCCTACTGACTTTCTGATTTAGACTGTACCTGCTCCTCTGTGTTTTACCTCCTTTAGTTTCCCGCTGGTGAAGGTTGGAGAGAGCACAGTACGAAGCCTCTTCCACTGTTCATCTTCAGCTAATGAGATAGCATTGGTCAGCACCCCTGCTAGATCCACATGCTAGGCAGGGAAAAAGACAAGGCGTTAATCTCAGAAAAGAGAGCAGCTTCCTTGCAAGGATGGGAATGTGGCATGTAAGTCCCTGCCCAGGCTATTTCATACTGCTGGCAGCAGGCTATGGCCTGACAAACAGCCTCTCTAAGGGCATACATACTCAAATAATCCTCTTTCCTCCAGTAAACCAGCTGTGAGATGCCATTTCCAGCCCAAGAACAAGTAACCCCACAAGCTCAACACCTGCACGTCTGTCTGTACCCACAGCTGTGTCATAACCCTGCATCCCATTGCTTCCTAGCTGGTGGCATGTGTGCTAGCTGGGCCTTACAGATTCCTGCATGCTCACATAGACTCAGTTCATCCATATATATATGTATATATGTGTATGTGTGTGAGAACAGAATTTGTCTGATTCTCAGCTTCGTCTGCCAGCCCGGGTGTGCAGTCCCAGGCTGCAAGGCAGGGGAACAGTGACATACAGTGGCCACGTACAGCAATCCCTATAGTGCAGCCTCTCATCCCAAAAGGATGCTTCTTGGCATCCTGCCCCCTCCTGCACGTTGTTTTCTGGACTCTGTGGGACCTCACCACGCTCTGCTCTTACCCTCCGGTTGGTAAAGGTGGAGTAACAGTCTTTCACCAGCACAGATTTAATGATCTGGGGGTCTGTGACAGCCAGCACAGGTTGCCTGCCATCGTAAATCCTGGTGGGGGGAGAAAAGGAGGCAGATAAATAACCTCAGATAGTTGAAGTGCAAGGTTTGGCTGATGCCCGTAAAACAACATGTTAAACAAATGCTCCTCCATCATCAGCTTTGCTGTTTAAGTACATAAATGTAGAAAGCAGAGGTGGAAAAGAACTCCCAGACCTTCTCCCATCTGGTTTTGTAAATGATAAAGGGGGCTAAACACCTTCCAAATTCACTGGGAAATGAGCAGGGCTCAGTAGCTCAAAGGACCAGATACTAAATGAAGCAAGTGTCTTCACTTTCTCCCCTGACTCTCTGTGTTTTTCCAGGCACTTAAACACATTACAGTATTAGAAGGAAACTTGTTCGACCCCTTTCAGGCTCTTGAGTTGGGTGTCTGGAGACTTGGGCTGACAGCACTGAAACATCCTTGGAGAGGAAACTCAATCCTTGTTTTTGTCTTTTAAGCTGCCAGTTCAGAATGCTTTCCTGGAACAGATGTAGATTAAGCAGATTTATGCGCTTTCCCCACTTACGTAAAGATATATTTTCCAAACTCCATTTTTTAAAGCTGCTTTAGGGACAAATGGATGCATCATAGAGGATATACAAGTTTGTAGCCCAAGTTATAACAGCAGTGATAAAAGCTGTTAGAGATGTCTAGAGCAGAACAACCATAACTGCAGTAGGTTCTGCTGCAGCAGGTGAGGATCAGCAGCACAAGGAAGTCTTTGGATCAGCTTCTTCACTCAGTCTTGGGAGTTACTCACATTCCTCTGCTGTTGGTAAACCAGAGGAACCCAACCTCCCAGTTCCAGATTCCTGCTTAAGTAAATAGTTCTGCTGCTGATTTTGTTAGGAACAGGGAAGGGCCTTTTGTTACCAGACTTAAAACTAAAATTCATGGTATCGGTCAAAGCAGTTTCTGTGTGGTGTGACAGTGACACAGCCCTACATTGTCAGCCTTCAATGACAGCCACCACCAGCACCTGTCATTGCTGTGCTCACCCTGCTGGGACTGTCAGGGCTGCAGGTAGAGAAAAGAGAGCTCTTCTAATGAATTTGTTCTCCCCTTCATACTTTAAGTAGAGATCAGTGGTTCATACTCACCCCCAGACTTTCCCGTATTTCTTGAAACAGTCACTGTCGAACTCCAAGAAGCCCTGTGGAAAGCAATTTAAGAATTATCATAGAATCGTAGAATATCCTGAGTTGGAAGGGACCCACAAGAATCATCAAAGCCTCAAAAATCCCACCATGTGCCTGAGAGAATTGTCCAAACATTTGAACTCTGGCTGAGTTGGTGCTGAATTATCTCAGAGCAGATGCAGTGGAGAGGATGATATTGGAGATGGTGGGTTGGGAGGAATAGCTGTGTAAACTGGTGTTCAGAGGTACCTTCTGAGTTCTCCTCCCAAAAACATCATGGACAGTATAAATGTGCCCCATGCTTGTGAATGAGAAGTTTGCCAGGGCACTGGCAAGGTGCAGCTGTAAATCAGCCACCCTGGAGGGCTCCTCTAGGGCTGCCCCATGGTCTGTGCTGCTGAGCCTTATCCCACATTGGCCTGTGCACAACCCACGTGCTGCAGTGGAGCTTGGCATTTGGAGATAACTTATCATCCCCGTGTATCTGTTCAGCTACAGCTGTACAGAGCAAAGGCAGATATTTCTGGAGCCAGGAAGGCTTTGGTCACTCACTTTGCGATATTCCAGGCAGGTCCCAAAGAAAGGCAGAGGTCGTGGCCCGGGAATACCCAACTTCTTGAACAAACCAAATGGCCAGGTCCCATATCTGTGGGACAGAAAAGACAAGAGTGTTACATCACCGTGGAATTGGGGCTGTGAGCTCTCCTAAACCTGGACACTGCAGCAACACCCCTTTGGAGAGGAAGTAGAGGAGGTTGATGCAGGAGTCGGAAAAAAATTGGCCCAAATGAAAATTGCCCTGTAAAAACTACTTAATAAACATGGTAAGGCTCACTGCTGCCACACAGAGCTTCAGAGGGTCCCTTTGATGTAAAAGCAGCTGTCTCCATAGGTGCTCCAGAGGAAATGGTACCTTGAAGCCTTTAGCAAAAGCCCAAAGAAGAGCTCATTGCCAACCAAAGGAGAGGCAGAAAAGGGAGCCAGGAGAAGGAACACCAACCAGGTGTTCAGTTTTTACTGAAGTGAAATCAAAGCACTGCCAGAAGTGATGTCCCAAACAGGGCTTTTGTCAAACTGTACTTTAATTTTATTTATTGTTCTCCCTCCCTTAGTCCGGCTGTAGCTCAGTGGAAGTCTTGTCTTGATGGTTTTCTCTTTAGATTTTATTGACAGCTTTGCGGATTTTTTTCCTCTGAAGCACCCTTTTTGGCAGCTCTAAAGTTATTACTTCTACCTCAGGGCTTTCTGTTTCTCAACAAGGGCCTGGGCTGCAGCCCTTTGAAGTTCGTGTTTGGTTGTGTTAAAAGGGCACCTCAAATATTTGGGTTTAGTTAGTAGCTGCAGCTTCCCAAGTGAGCAGGTCATGGCAGAAGGGATGTAAAACAGCAAAGGTTTGGCAGGGGATGTTCTCAGAGATCCTCTTTGGGCCACAAGGCAGCAGATGCTCAGCCAGGATCTTGGGGATGCTTATCTGGAAAACTGGAGTCCAGGCTGAAATTAAGTGAAGGGTTTCTCCTTGCAATAAGTAATACTTTTCTAAATTTGGGGGACCCCAAATGAGATCCCAGACCCAGCACAGGTTCTGCCAGAGCACAAAAGCAGATCCCATCTTATGGCCCAAACAGGGCAGGTGAAAAACAGGGAACTGGGTGTTTTCAGGTGCAGAAAGATTTCACAGAGCTCAGTTTGTCAATGTTTAATCTTTTCTGTCAAAGGTTAATTCAGTAGTAGGTATCAAATGTTTGTGAATTCTTGTCTTTAATGTTTATAGCTAGCCAGGGCTGTGGGAGGACCAGGAAATGTCAGGCTGGGCTGGTTACAAAACCCAGAAATACTATAGGAGCATAAGCTAGGCTTAATCCACTTGAAACACAGCCAGGAAAATATAGTCTAAAATATAGGAAAAAAAGTCTAACACTCTTACAACTAAAATGTGTCAGGGTTTTCTGCAGGCTGAGAAGGACCATTCAATATGAAGCCAGGGAATAATCATTACTTCTTCCTACCATGTATGTGAACTAGAAATGCCTGAGATTCCCTCATGTGTGAACTGGAACAGTGTTGCCTCAGATGGATAAGAAGCATCTAAACAACCTCCCTGTGCCAAGGCAGTGAAATTTCCAATTTAGGTCAGATATCAGAGCATAAAGATCTGGGTTTAGTCCCTTTTGCCACAGCAGAATTACAAGGGTCTGCTGGAGGTGAAAGTCTGGTAACCAGCAGTCTTAGATGACCAAAAATTTACTGAAATAGGGAGGTTTGGGTCAATAATGAGGATGGTTTTTTTGGCTTGGTTGGTTTGGTATTGGGTCTGTTGTTTTTTTTTAAGAGTCTGCCCCAAACAGGCTTTTGAGTGATCCAAATCTCAGGAAATAGATTGAAAAATATGGCTAAAACTTACAGAGCTGCTGTGGCTGAAGCATTGCCAGGGCAGACAAATGGGCTGTGCTCGTGTGCACCGCATTAATCGTTAAGGTTTATGGTTAGCAACACGCTGTCTCTGCCTCAGGGCTTGTCAATACTACCCAGTTTGTCAGCTCAGCCTTGTTGGCAGGGGCTGCCAGCAGGGATGCTGTGTCCCAGCACAGGGGGTTCAGCCAGCAGTGCTGAATGGCATCAGCAAAGCCAGGGAAAGAATTTTTTCAACAGTGCAGCTCCCCTTGGGTACATTTCTGCCTGTGGGAGTTTGTCTCAAAAGGCAGGAGAAGGTGTCTGACCTTGCTCTGGGCTTCACTTCTTCCCCCAGCAAGGGTGGGCTGTGAGGATGGACATGGGATGCTGTCCCTGCAGGAGTGTGGCAAATCAAATTCCTGGAAAGGTTCCCTCCAGATCCAGATGCTCGTGAGTGGAGCATCCTACCTGGGCACTGTAGGAGTCAGGAGGAGTAAGAACTGACTCTGTGAATATTCTTTTTCTGGTGTCTTTCTGCTGTTCTCCACCTTTGCAGCAGGGTCCTCTTCTGCTGACTCTCCTCCCTAGCAGCCTCAGCCAGGGAGGCACAGCTGTATGTCTTTGGAAAATAACCTAAGGGATCATAATCCTGACTGAAGCCAGCACCCTGCTGGTAACCAATACCTGGCACCATCATTATTCAATTATTCCTTTGATGTTTAGCAGCAAAATCATAGCTACTCGAGAATACTCCAAACCTTGGAGCAAGATCACACATCTGTACAGTCTTTAGACTCTTCCTGCTACTTCCCAGAGCCTGGTTAGATGCTGGAAAACTGGAAATCACACCTACTGTTTGCTCTTCAGCAGATTAGCTGCATGGAAGTGAACAACGGCAAGAAGAGGAAAAAGGCAGGAGCAAAGAATCAATAAAGAATATTTTACTCACGCTACCAGGAGGGCTACGAAAAGAAGCAAAAGGGCCCATGTCTCCGTAGAGAAGGCAGGAAGTAGGTTCATTTCAGTTCTTCTCTGACTGGCTTTGAGTTCTGCCTTGATGTGTTTGTCCCACGTCTGTGGGATATTGCACACTGTTTGGCAGTGTGCGATCTTTTTTATCCAATCATATGATTTAGGGGCCCTCCTTCTGTCACGAAGGAGGTGGAGTGGAAGGCAAAGGTAGCAAAGTATGCTAATCTGAAAAACATGATTCATGTGAGGGACAAGTGCCTGGCTGAACTAAGGTTCAAATTATTTAATGCATATGTTGCCAAGCGTTTCAGCTGGTTTCTCTTTTGTAAGTAATAACTGACTTCCTATTGACTAATGCTCCTGGGCTCCTCCACCAAACTAAATAAAACCAAGTTACAGTGAAAAGGTAAATCCCAAAGCAGGTGTCAGAGCTGGTTTACAAAAGGGAAAGAGAAGTGAAAAGGTTATTCACACACTGTATGACAAGATCTCTTCTGGCAGATGAATTAACTTTGACAGAATTTAAGATTTTTGTTTAAAATATCTCTTTCTGTTGTGAGGAGCAAGCACTGCCTGCTTCTGGCTGCATTGATCAGAAGCAGCTTCTAACTAAGGCAGGAATTTGCCCCCGTAAAGGCTGTAGAAGTGCACCTTCTTTGTTGGCACGTGGCCAGGGGTTTTGTAAGAGAAATACTGTCATTCCACAACTGTCAGCAGTTAAAGTACCACCCTCTCCAAAACACCAGCTCATGGATTGAAACCAGCACCCAGCCTTCTGCAGCAGCTGGGAAAAAAGGCACAAGTAGAGCGAAAACACGGATTTTGTAAAGGCTTTCCTGCTGTGGAAAGTAAGAGTGTCCTAGAGGTATGGATGTGCTAAGAGATTATGATGGTGAAGAATACTGGGCTATTTGGGTGGTGTTTGTTAGTGGGGGGATCGTGTCAGAGCAGGAAGCTCCATGGTTTGCACAGATGTGCACTACAGCATTTTTAGGTCCTCATTTAGATTCATTCAGAACTCAAAAACGAGTGATTCCCTCTGGACAGGCAGAGCTGCTGCCTTCAGAAGGGAGTTTACTGTCTGCACTGGGTGCAAATAACTGGGTGTTATAACACTACGTGGCCTGTCAAAAGCCTTGTGTCTCTGAGGATGTTGCTGTGATTGATGCTGAGGTGACTGATCAGTGGATCTCTGTCCACGTGGTGATACCAGACATTTCGAGAGTTGTCATCTTGCCTTACCTCAGCAGCACTTGTATCTCATTTCACCTTTGCCTGGCCTTTGCTCTGACCTTGAGAGACAGCTCAGTTGCAGGTTATTCTGTAATAAACACAGTCGGCTTTGGTTTGACATGAACAGACAAGTTCATGACACGGCTTTCCAAGCCTGTGTTGGGTTCTACCTCTTTTGATTCAGAGATGTTGCAAGAGCATGTGGTTAAATAGGTGCTTTCCCATTCAGGAACTGGTCACAGCAGTGATTGTTTCTCCAGGGTTCCTCTTTGCACATTTTCACATAGCCTTGAAATTTGAATTTATTGGACGCCAAATGTTCCCAGCTCACTGCGTTGGGAAATAGGTTAATACAGTTCATTTAGGAAATAGGATTGCTCTAGGGCTCTCCATCCTCAGTCAAAATAAGCCTCAATCCTTGTCCTCTTTGGGTCTTTTTTAAGGGTGATTATAGTCACTGGAATAACTTGTATAAAAAACAGATAGGTGCAAAGTCTTGCTGTGGTCTTGCACTGTAACCTGATGATCTCTCAAATGAACTGTGCCTATTGACTTCAAACAAACAAACAATTTCCCCTTGAGAAAGCCGATAGATAAACAAAAAAAACCCTCATGTGATTCATCCATCCTGGAGGAAAGTCAATGACCCAGGAACAAATGACTGATTTTCACATAAAAGTCCAGCTCAGGGCTAGTTTGTGCCTAAATGTGCCCTATATTAAAACTGTAAACCTCCAACTGTGGTGCCCCCTAAACTGCTCGGGGGTGCAACAAGCCAGTCGGGAGATCCTGTTTGAGAGGTGGCCTGGACACCTTCAGAGGGGAGCCAGGGAAGGATTCTCCTCCTGCCCTCCATCTGTGGGAGAGAGGAGAAACATCAGCTGTTTGCATCATCTTCAGGCAAGGCTGAACCCCCTCTCACAGGAATGGTGGGAAGGAGGAGATGCTCACAACCAAGACCCAGTCTAACCTCTCCCTTCCCAGCCAAAGCCTCTGCCCACCTGGATGCTGTTGCATTGAGCTGGCATGATTATCCCTTCACCCTATGGAAGTCTTTTAGATGCATCTTATTCTTTACCACCACGAGCTTTTAGGCCCATCCTCTGCTTCTCCAGGACATTTTGAAGTTTAGGTGAGCCCACTGGCTCACAGCTTTTTTGGAGCAGAGGCACAGTGCTCAAGGGTGTGAGAAGGTCCAAGCCCAGATAGAGCTGCAATTATAGCTGTGGTAACACCTTGCTGGTGGCACAACTAGTCTCAACCATGTGACAATGTCACACACAACATGTAGTACATGGTGGACACACAGCACCGACCCTCCTCACTTGGGCTGTTGCCACTCTGTTTCTAGGACAGTCACAGGCTGAGGGTGAGAAGTTTGAAAAGCCAAAGTTTGCAGCAAAATTCAGAAGAACACTGAGCTGCTTTTCCATTTCTAATGCCCCTAAGAAGCTCAGATTAATGGATTAATGGCTTTCAGGAAATCAAAATAACAACATGTTGTTATTTGCAGAGTAATGAAGGGAGTGCTGCTAATCCAGGTTGTGAACAAGGTGTGATGAGCAGGAAGGATTTCTGTGTAATAATACCTGGGGTCTGGGCAGTAAAATGGAAGAACACGTGTTTCACAAGCTGTGAAACAAAATGATGAAGGGTAAGAAAAACACTATGGAATAGCAATTATGACTGGGGCACAGGTGTGGAGAGGAACGAGCAGTGCAGAAGAGAAAAAGCCATTGAGGGGGGGAGAAAAAGCCACATTGGGTAACATTTTGTGTTCCTGATAAAAAAGGACTGCATAAGAATAAGGAGAGCCAGGCTGGATAGGTCTGAATCTTTAGTTCTTACTCACTTTTGAGGATGGTCATGAAAGAGGTTTTCCCAAGATGCTTTGGGGAGTTTGTTTTAGATTCTCAGGGCTGGGCCCGTTGCAGTAGAGACTCTGCAGTGCTATTTGGGGTATAAATATTGCTGAGGAGTTGTATCCTTGTGGAGTACTTTAAACTCTCTAGATACAGATCATAAAAATTGCTGCTAATCGTGCAGAGCTCAGCTAATCTCTGTATGGGAGAGGGCAGATTTCTGCACTGGAGAAACACCAAACTGGCAAGAAGTGACACTGATTTAGCTTCCCAGTTGATAGGTAATTTCAAATATTCTGGGAGAACAGTTAAGAGTAATATTACCTTGGGTTGAATGAACCACATTCGTTTAGTGCAACAAAACTGGAAGTATAACCAAAACCAAGCTTGTACCTCAGGCTCTTTTTTCAAAAGGACAAATTAATGAAACAAACCAGTGGAAGATCTCAGGACCCTCGCTGTAGACTGTGTCTAACCTCCTTTTTAAGTCAACAGTGCTAATATTATCAGCCAGTTTTATGCCAAGAGACTTGCCACTGCCTGAGCAGCTGCATTAAAAGGAATGCTCGGAATAAATCAATCAGGTAGGAAGTGAAAAAAAAAAACAAACCCACAAATATTTTATAGTTCAGGGTACATTATTATATGTTCTGTCCATAAGATCTTCTGGGATGGGAGCTTGTTTCTGTGCCTGAACACACTGGCTCACTGGGCTTCAGCTGGGGGGGGGTCCAGCATATTGGTGGCACTTCTCACCCCCTTGGAGAGGTGCCCCCAAAACCCTTTGTTTGTTTAGTCTAGTTTCATGATAGCTGGGCTGGAAGGAGGTTGCTACGAGATAAATGCCAGGTAGAAGAGCTATTGAATCAAATTATGATGTTGGCACAGAGACAAATGGGAATAATACAGCCACGAATAACTGCTAGGCTGGAAATGAGCGCAGTCCTGACCTGGGAAGCTCGGGAGTCTTCCCTTCATGGGGTTAAAAGAAAGAAAAAAAAGGTCAGGTAATGTAAAATGAGGCGAGATAAGGCAGCTGCTGATGGGAGGAGGGAGCAATACATTAAATTACCAGAGCTCTTCTGCCAGAGCAGTGCGAGGAGTTTGCTTTCTGCACAGACAGAAGATGTGGGGAGGCAACTCTTTATTTTTCCCTGGTACACAGTGGTTTAGTTACCCACAGGAAAATACTTCATAATGAAGGCTACATTTTGCTGGCAGTGGTGAAAATATTGATACACTACCGCTGGATAAAAAAAAAAAATCAATATATTTGGAGGGGTCTCTAATGATACTTTATGTAGTTCTGTGTATAGATGACTGATACCCTCCTGCACATAGATTTCTTTGGGATTTAAAAAGCTCACAAAAAACCTCAACAAAAAACTAATTAATTCCCCTGGATGTTTTGTTCCATATACTGAGCTTTGGAATTACACAGAAACTAGGACATTTTTCTGATGCTTTTTTTCAGTTAAAGTAATATCCCTGATACATCCCAATCTTCCTCCATAATCTTTGCAATATATCATTATATTCCTTTTCATTCTAAGAAATGACAGCTACAAAAGCTGTATGAAATCTGGATGGCTAATTAACTCTGAGCACTGCATTCTTTTGCCCAATCCAATACAAATGCCTGTTTGAGGTTAACCTTTTAAAGTGAGTTAAGAAGTAATAAAGTATCCTGCCAGCTCCACCCATGACTTCTTCCCTACAATGCAACCAAAGACAAGGTTACGTCTTGCAAGGGAACAGCAGAAAAAATCCTGGACAAATGCAAATGTGGGTGAGATGTACTTCCAGCACAAGGTGTAAGATCATGTTCTTTCCTGGATATTTTAGGGAGGATACCCTAATGGGGAAACTACATGAGAGTGGTGCTTTGTTGTGCCACCATTTTGGCAAAGTCATCCCCAGAAGCGTCTGTGCACGTCATTGCTTGAGCAAACTTCAGCACTGGGATGTCACAGCCTGGTGAAGTCAGTGCACTTGGCTCATTCAGAGCAGTGGATCTTTCAAAGGGTGACAAATCATCAGGAGGGTAAA